TGTTGGTTTGTCACACATTTACCTGCTGAATGTGTGTGTGTGTGTGTGTGTGTTCTACCTGTTCACTTCCTTGCCAGTTCAGCCCTGCGAGCATGTGTTTGCTCTCCCCTACAGAAACAACCTTGAAATGCGACAGATGTTCAAATTCACCTGCTGAACTTCACAAATCAAAGCCGGACCACTAATAATGAGCTCTTGTCAGTTGAGAAAAGGAGGGATTGTGAGGTAAAATAAGTATATATACACAGAGACACAGACACACACACACACACAGTCCCAATCACACACCACCAATCATTAACAGCTAAGCTAGGGTCATACTTTGCAGCTGCTCTTTCTGGATAAGATAAGACTTTGCTGCTGAGACAGAGAGTGTGTGTGTTCTTGTGTGTGTATTTATGTCTGCATCTTTGTCTGTTTCTGTGCCTGAAAACACCTGTTCAAACAAAGCTTTAGAAATATGACTGAATAAATACATTTCACATATACAGTAACCAGCCATCTGTCTGTTACGGGGGTTGTAAAAGATTCTGCTGGGAACACTTACTTTGATGACAGTAAAAATATAATAAATCAAAGAGTTTCATTGTATGTTCTGTGGTTTTAATGATACATTGTGTGGACTCTGTTGTCATGTGAGCCCGTAGAAATTTGCAAAAAAGGAGTGTTTAATTGTAGAAATTTGGTCATTTGCTGTTCGCCACAGTGAAGAGGAACAGTAGGAGGTAATCCAGTTTGCAATTTTAGTGTTTCTGCCATCCGATAAAATGTGTTGTAAGCAGAGAACTTATGTTACTTTTTTTTTTTTTGCATACACATGGACTCATATTGTCATGTTTTAAGAATAGCCACAATTCTCTTTTTTTTCTTTACATTCTGATTACCCAAATCTCAATTCCATTTCGACTTCGTAAGTAAAGGCCCTCTCACTCCACTGATTAAATCCTTTTACAGCGACTGAAGGAGGCAGGTATGTGGTCCATTTGCAGTCTCTAATTTGACTGGCATGCATTGTCAGAGCGTGATTACACACATGAGATCCACTGGTTATCTTGATTAACTCTTGCGCAACCAACATCAAGCTGTTGCAAAACAACTGAGAGCATTTCTGTGTGTTCGCGTGCATTAAAGTGCTAAGTTACTGCTTAGTATTCAACACAGCCTGCCAGCTTATGCGGCGAAAATAATGAGGAGTATTAGAGATGGTGACATCTCTGAGATGCATGGGGACGCGGAGTTCATTCATTTTCATGAAAAATTCTGAAACAATTAAAACGTTTCTCACTTCTTTACATCACTGACACCCCTCCAGACTGAGCATTCCCACCTGGCCCTCTTTCTATTCTCAATACCACAACTATCTATTTCTTTTTTTTTAAAGGTGTCTGACCAAGGAAGAGCCTGAAGCACTGCATTTTTAATTGCGGTAAAGGTCAGCTCACGGCTGGGATGGACAACATAGAGCAGAATCGTAATTATTATTATAGTTGTGTTGATTTATGTTGAGACTGTCGATTGCAGCTTTCCCATGAAATAACTCAATGTTTTTTTTTAAAGCTGTTTTATCATAAAAGTGTATTTTCTTTCACCCTCTGCCTTTGTTGCTTATTTTTTGCTTATGTCTGGATGTAACTGTTGTTTTTTTAAAATTTATTTCACTAAGTTGATTTGTTCTGTCATTAAAGATCAGTGTTTTTGTAATGCAGCGACTGCTGTTATGATTCAAAGTTTGAGCAGGCTAAACGCCAGGCAGAGTTTGTGACAGCCGGTCAGTACGCACCTCCATCAATATTTAAATATGGGAAGATTTTAAGTTTTCATGAAACTGAGTGGATGCGCTCTGAGTGGGTGGCTGACCATATGGTGTCAGTGTTCTGAATAACAGATGACCTCAGATCAGATTTATCTTAGGAGGGAGATGCAGAGCAAAAAGAAAGAGAGATGGGGCTGCTTTGGCAACATTCTTCATCGAACATTCATGCCAATAAAACAAACTGACCTAAACTGAAGAGAGAGAGAGAGAGAGAGCTGAGAGGCAGAGGAAAGAGTTCAGAGGGAAGACAGGGAGAGATAGCTCAGAAGGAAGAAGCCTGTTTAAAGAGAGAAGCACCAAATTCCTCACCAAAACTAAACCCATATACGAAGAGCTCGACTCAATGCAAACTTGTTTTACACTTAGAGATGTCTTGAAATTGTCACACCCCTTGTTAGAAGTTTTGTCACAGTCTGAGAGAAGATCAGTGGAAAACCATGTGAATCTGTACTGAACTTTTAAAATATTTGATCAGTTTTCCAATATAGTGCTCAACACTGCCATCACTTTTATTTATTATTCTACATCTCATATCGTCTTTTGAAGGATTAGTCTGACTAACTCCTTTAGCATAACTGTATTAATGTGTCTACTTGTAGCACATAAAGTGCCCATTTGTTAACTTCTTTTCTTACATTTTTATTCTAACATTGCAAACCTAATTAAGTGAACTTAATTATGGTCATTCTAATGAAGTAAACTCGATTTTTGGGAGGGCAAAGGAGCTAGAAAAGTGGTTGGGAAAATGAAGAGGGGGAGTTTAGAGAGAGTGAGAGTGAGGAGTAAAGAGTGAGGACAGACAAAAGAAAGTTGGGGGTGGAGGTGGGGCACAAAAAGAACACCTGTTGAGATTAGGGTTGGCACGCGACCCACTCCAACTCGCGTGGCAGCTGCACCTCACTGGAACAATGGCAGTAAAAGGGAGAGAGGGAAGAAAGCGAGAGGAAAGTTTGAATGCACTACTTATCCTTTCAGGTCATGTGAGCGTGTGTGTGTGTGTGTGTGTGTGTGCGTGTGTGTGTGTGAGGCATACTAATGAGGGTGAGTGAGAGAGGGAAAAGGGAGGGAGAGAGAAAGAAAGCGAGTCAGATAAGTGTGCCAAGAAAAAGACATGTGTATTCAAGTTAACTGTGAAGCCAAAACTGGGTGAAAGGTCTTATTTATCTTTAGGATTAAGAATAGAATAGAATAGAATAGAACAAAATAGAAAAGAACAGAACAAAATAGAATAGAAGACACCTGCTCAAGGTACTGAATGAGGTGTTATCTTAAAAAGCCTACCAGCTGTCCTTCCAGGTGCACTGAGTTGCCAAGGAAGACACACTATTACTTGAAAATTTTGCAAACAGGAGCCCTCAGTAAGTTCATACTGACCTTAACACATTCCCACAGGGAAGGGTTTTTGCTTTATATTTGTAAAATAAGCCTCGGTGTATATTTTTAAAGTGCTCTCTGGTTAAGTCATCCACCAAAGCAGAACCGTTTCTATAGCACAGGCTTATATGCTATAATGTTTTCCTGCATCTCCTTAATAAAATGCCATTGTGCAGCAGTGTGAGTTTATGAGTTAACGCTCTTATTTCCATTGCGGTTCTGCTCCATGAACACACAAATTGGAGCCCAATTACCCGTTGCTTTACTTGGATGCACTGCAGATATGAGGCCATATTGAATATAATTGTACCCAGTGAAATGCATCCAGCAACGTTGGTGACTTTACTTTCATACTAATTTCCCAGCGGTGGTCCAAGTCACCTCTGACTCTCCTTTCATTAAGATACAGAACATCTGACCATCTCTGACTCTATCACACACACACACCTCTTTGACTTTCATTTCCAATTCATTCCATATTTTGATGGCTTTTTTTTTTTTTTTTAATGTGCAGAAACGGGCTCCCCTGGAAACCGGAGTCATTAAAGTGGTGATTTCAAACTGAACTGATTTTTTTTTTTAGACTAACACTACATTGCTTTAATTTACCATAAATTTCACAGCTTGTTCTACCTCACTACAGTCTGGTAAACCTTGCTGTAACACACACACACACTCACTGCACAACAGCATCGCTTGGATGCCTCCCTGTCGCACAGAGACATTATGTAATTCACCCCTGGTAACTGTTCTCAATGCTTGGCCTGATCTCTTTTACCCTCCCTAAATTCTCTGCAGCTCAGCCACGCTGCGTCCTCTCCGGCTCTGCGACGCCATCTAGCGGCATCCCACTCAGCCTTATAGCATGTACACGACTGTTAGTCTGCTTTATCCCTGCTTGTTCCTCCTTAGAGTTTTTCTTTTTTCTTTTTTTTTTTTTACTCATTACAGATTTAAACTGGATTAAACCCCAAATGATTTTGTTGTGTTAACTGGATACGTCCTGAGGAAACACAACTTTGTAATGATTTGTATTTTTTTGTGAAATGGTGTGTTATTATCTCCAAAAGCAAATACAGTAAAAAGAAAAAAAAAAAAGAAAAAGATAAGCAACACTAGGAAAATGTGGTTTTGAAAATTATAGTGTCAACACAAGTGTATAAGACTGGAGACAATTGATAAAAGGTTTCATTGGTTCTTTATCTGTTTTTGTACATAACTTTTATGTTGATTTTGGCACAATTACCTCCGTGCGTAAAAGTGCTTTTGCGCTCAGACCGCAGGTGCCGTGCGTCTTTCTGCCACCTCGGTCTTGTGTCACTGCTCGTAGGAAAACTGCACCCGATGTCAGTTTCGAGGTGTGCGGATGTGTGTGCCCTCTCAGGCAGTTTGCACACATGGTTCTTCGCTCCCCTTCTCTTCTCTTCTGTCTGCTGTGCTGGAGAGGGTTGGTTCGATGTGTGTTATGTGACAAAAGACCGCCCAACCCCGCCTCGCAGAGAGAGAGAGAAGGAGAGGGGGAGAGAGAGAGCGAGAGAGAGCGAGAGAGGGAGGTGAAGCTTGGCTCAGAGTCTTCTCTCACACCAGCATAACGATTATGAGGTGTCCAAGAGACATTTCCCTGTTTGTGAAGCAGTCAGTAAGAGGAGCTCAACTGTTGAACGTGGTCTTGTTTAACATCATGGTGGGCAACGGCCACCTGTATGCAAACAAGCACCCATTAAACCAGTTATCAGCTTTAGTAATTAATAGAATGACCCACTCTTTAAAGTAAATAAATAAATAAAGAGTTATATACAACGTGTGTCTTTAATATCATAAACATTATGCGCCTACATCAGCTGCATTGCGCAAATTCTCTTTTTCCTGGGTGCGCATTATTCACAACATCCTGACTGTCTGCACAAGTGGAAAGAAAATGAGGCTGATATAACAGAGCATATTTCTTTTATTCTGGCACAGTTGGAAACTGTAAGTGCTCAAATTGCCATATGGCAAAAGTATACTCAGCTTTCCCATATAGCTGCATGTTAATGGTACACACATGGGCTTCTGGTGAGAGAGTAGGAAAGGGGGGTTCATAACATAAGCCAGTGTCTCTTTAAAAAAAAATTGAAGTTTCTTGTTGTATTCTGGAATGAGGTCAGACACGAGGCTCCTCATTGCACGCGCTGATTATTATTAGATTCCATTTTGGGCCAATCAGCGGCGAGGGGGCGTGATTCTGGCGCCGAGGCAGGGTAGCGACAGCGTCCGATTGGTGGATTTTTATCGCCGTTGTATCACGGGAAGGGATAAATGCAGGCGAGGGGGGCCGGGTCTGGAGGGCTGCTTAAAACGCGACTGTAGGTCTGCAGATGGGAGGCGGACAGTGTAACTCGCTCTAGCTGCTTTTTCTCCTTCCCCGGCATGCATGGCTTTTGTTTCTAGGAGAGCTGATGCAGAGAAAAGCACTTACCTTACACACTCTACTTGGGAGCCCTTTGCAAGTGCCCAAAACGCACAGTGGTGGCACCCAGTCTCAGCTGTGTAGACTATGTTTCAGTGAACTGATTTTATAACACAGAAGGAAGAGACTGAGAGCGATCACAGGGTGCACAGTGGACAGTGGGGCTACACCGTCCGTGCTGTTTGAACTCCTACAGAAGCTGGAGATTAAACTTTTTTACGCATCCAGCCTTTTCAGGCTCCTCTGGACTGAAGTGTTTCCGAGTTTACTGCGCATCTCAGGAGTGAATTACTACGTGCACTGTTTTTTTTTTTCTTTCTTTTTCTTCTTCCTCTCCGCTCAAACTGTGAAGAGGGGGAGAAAAGAGCTGAGTTTGCTTTAAAGTGAATCAGAGGACCAAGGAGAGAGGGAGAGAAAGAGCCAGTACAAACCCTCTTCCTCTGTGTGCAGAAGCGGACAGCATGGTGCAGAAAATGAGCCACACAGAGAGCACCGCCGAGGCGCTGTCCTTCTTCGCCGGGGATTCGAGCTCCGACTCCGGGGCGTGCATGGACCTGGACCCGGCCGCCTCGCCCCTCTCCCCGGGCTCCACAGCCTCCTCGACCGCCGGCGACAAGTTGGGAGACAATCCGGCGTGGTGTAAAACTCCGAGCGGCCACATCAAGAGACCCATGAACGCCTTCATGGTGTGGTCGCAGATCGAGAGGAGAAAGATCATGGAGCAGTCCCCGGACATGCACAACGCGGAGATCTCCAAGCGGCTGGGGAAGCGGTGGAAGCTGCTCAGAGACAGCGACAAGATCCCCTTCATCAGAGAGGCGGAGCGGCTCAGGCTCAAGCACATGGCGGACTATCCCGACTACAAGTACCGGCCGAGAAAGAAGGTAAAATCCAGCGCGTCCAAGCCTGGCAGCACCGGAGACAAGGGAGACAAACTTAGCAGTAGCTCGAACAACACCAGCACTAAGACATCCTCATCTTCGAGGAAGAATGGATCCAAATCAACCAGCAGCAGCAGCAAACCCCACAAATCACTTTTCGGGAGCAGTAGCACCAAAGCATCACTGTTTGCCTCTGAGCACCCGTCAGAGCACCATCACAACTCTCTGTACAAGTCCAAATCCGTCTCCTCCTCCTCAGCCAAGCAGATACCGGATGGCAAGAAGCCCAAGCGGGTCTACGTGTTCGGGAGCAGCGGGGCCAGCTTGAGCGTCAGCCCGGCGTCCTCCGTCGTGGTCCCGGCCAGCCCGACGCTCAGCAGCTCGGCGGACTCCAGCGACCCGCTGAGTCTGTACGAGGACGCGGCCAGCGGCCGGGAGGAGGGCGCGGACTCCCCGGTCAGCAGCGGCAGCCTGAGCGCGTCTTCGGAGCGCCACGGCGGCCACACGTACAGCAGCAGCCGGCGGACTTCCTCGCCCACTCCCTCCGGCTCCCACTCCTCCGCCTCGTCCCACTCGTCCTCCTCCTCCTCCTCTTCCTCGGAGGACGAAGAGTTCGAGGACGACTTGCTCGACATCAACCCGAGCCCCAGCTTTGACAGCATGTCGCTGGGCAGCTTCGGCTCCTCGGTGCTGGACAGGGACTGGGATTTGAACTTTGAGTCCGGCTCCGGGGGGTCCCACTTCGAGTTCCCCGACTACTGCACGCCCGAAGTCAGCGAGATGATCTCCGGGGACTGGCTGGAGTCCACTATCTCCAACCTGGTGTTCACGTACTGAAACAGCAAAAAAAATAAAAAAGCCAACAGGTAAATAATCCTGCGCGTAAAAACCTGACCACAAACAGAAACAGGGGTTCCTGTAAGTGTGGGCGCAATAGTTTGTGTTGTGACTACAGCAGACTAGCATAAACCCACTGAAACTAGTCCCCCGTCCCTTCTTGCCTCTAGAGGCGAGAGCTGCAAGTCCTTGGAAAGCTCAACTTAAAAAAAAAGGAAAAAAAGGGGATCAGTTTGTTTTTTTTTTGTACTTTTCTTCGGATGCGTGGATTGTGGGACTCGGTACAAGTGGAGGGAAGCAGAGGGGAGAGAAGGAGAGACTGACTCAGTCCTGGACTGTTTGAACTGAAACTTAACTGTGATTGATTTGCACGTTACGCGGTCCGCCGTTCACTTAATCAATGTTGTTGCTGAATTTGAGAGAGAGAGAGAGAAAAAAAAGGGACATTTCACAACTTTTTACCAATCGCCAAGTGAACTTCACCACTAAAAAGGTACAGAAATAGGACTGACTGCCGTGCGACATTTTTATTGTGGTGTGTCACCGAGAGGGATTTTTTAAAATGAAACCGAGGTGGGTTGATGTTTTTTTTGTTTTTGTTTTTTTTTTAAAGTCGGATATTTTTCTCGAAAGCAAAAAAAAAAGAAGAAAAAAAAACCTGTTAAGCATGATAGCCTACTTTGTTTCCTATCTTGTGCTGAGATTTTTTTTTTTGTGAGACTGTCGAGCAGTTTAAAAACTAGTATTAGGGTTATTTAAATGGATAGGTGGCGCTCGCTTCGGTTCTTCTCTTTAAGGAAAAAAAAAAAAAGAAAAAAAAAAGGACATTGAAATAATCACCAGCTGTCGTAATTTTTCAGACTTCAGGACTCAAACGCAACTTCAAATCTGTGCTGAACTTTATACACGTGTTCTCTGATTCAGGACCAAAATTCTTTTTAATTTCAGATGATAGCTATAGAGAAATCCTCACCGATTTTTTGTTGTTCGTCATCCTCTGAGCTTTGTTTTGTACATGTATTCAGATGCCATTTTATATGGGATGTTGTATTTATATACTGGGCCAAGCGTTTTTAACTTTATCATTTTTTTTATTATTATTTTTATTTCTTGTACACATGATCTAGTCCATTTCTTTTTTTTTTTCTAACACGGTTGTTTGTCAGTATGTCTGCCACATTTCCTTCTCAGGCGAAGGGCTAGAGTTTTAAGAACACACAACTTTTTTGATTTCTTTTTTATATTTAAATGTACACACTTTTGGACACTTAAAAAGAGAGGAAACAGTTTGATTATTTTCTCAGTGTATTTTTGTACAAATCTATATAGAAAAATGGGGGAAGTCAACAATCGGTGTGTGTAGCCTACTAATACAGCTGTATTGGATTTCCTAATTTTTAATACCCCGGCAGGCTGGTTTTCATGCTGCCTTCAAGTGCTTATGGCAAGCTCGTATTTCTGAGTTTCTGCTGACTGTTGAAACGCTTTTTGTAGGAGACAAACAGCAGGAACAGACCATGTGGACACTGTGGTGCCTGTTGTTTTTGATTTGTAGGAATTTAGAGGCACCCGAGATGCTTTGTACTTTTAGCGAAGGGAGCAGAAAATGAATCAGGTGTGCAATTTTTAAAGTCACCGAGCAGTCAAACTCCGTGTAACTTCTACCAGCAAATACTTCTAACCCGTATTTGACACCCAATCCCCGAATATCCCTGAATATTGGCAGTGCAGGAATGAAATACTGAAGTTGCAAGACTGCAATTTGGATTTTTCCCGACAGCACTTGAAAGCAGCACCAGTCTTCGTATCAGCCTACCTTCTACGTTTACAGTGCCAGACTGCAGGCTTCTTAAAGACACAGGAACGCTTTATTTCCAGAGGCTGTTCCTGTGCACCACGTGGGTTTAGCAGCAGCAGCAGCAGCAGCAGCAGCAGCATCACTGTCTCAAAAAAAGCCACTTGCTTTTTGCATTTTCCAGTCAGATATCTTGCCTATGACAACAATGAGGAGATTGTAGCTTTAAATTTGACTTATTTCTTGATGTTTTCATTAACTGATGTCACATTTGCCAATCAGCCACTGGATCGAACAGGTTCTCAATACAGCAGCAAGCAAAACAACAAAAAGGATGACAACATCAAGCATATTCAAATTTCTGACTTGAGTTCCGCAACACCTACTTGTACTGCGTTTCTCATTGTATTTGAATATATAATCTTTTCTACTTGTCGGCTAACTATTAGCTAATAATTGTTTTAGTATCTTTATGGCATGGTGAATAGCATTTGTATTTCAGATTCAGGTTATTAGCTGTTGTGTTTTTCAGAAAAAAATGAAAAAATGAGCAAAAACGATGAAACGTGAACTCGATCTTTGTATATTTGACTGTATCATAAAGCAAAAAGATTGTGTGTTTATGTACGTTGTTGCTATTGAGGACAGGCACTGTCTAGAACTGCTATCTTTTACACATCCTTACTTACATTTAAGGTGGTCAGTTCAGACTGTTTTTTATATATATATGAAAGCATTTTTAAATATATTAACTTTATTTTTCATCCATCCTGTGCAATATGCTGTGTAGAATTATCATTTATTGTCTCTAATCATGCCATAAACAAAAGAAACCGCCCTTTTTCTGGGACTCAGAGAAAGGGAGGGGGGAACTCATGCCAGCTAAATTGTGTCCATTCACTGCCTGTCAGATTGTTGATACAAACTTGTGTACAGAACTTTTTCAAGGAAGGAAATAAATATCAGCTGGAACTGAAACTCTACAACTCCTTTTCTTGATTTTTGAACGTTTTCTATCTTTCTTGAACATTCAGGAGGAACCAAAAAGTGATATATTGTGTAGACTCCACAGATAAGGAAGACATTACGTAACATCAACTCATTACCAACACTGTGTTTTCATTACTATGCTTAGTCAATTTGGCACCATTTTTCAATAAATGCATAAAAGAGTACAATTTAAAGCAACATATAGGTCATTGAAAGCTTTTGACTCAACTTACTGCTGCACCAACTTTTAGTAGCTGTTGGAATTTTTATGGCAACACATAGTTTAATTGAGGAGAAACAGTGACTGGTGATAGCAAATATGTGGATTTGTTCCCAAAGTACTTGGAATAACCGATTAAAAAATGCTGTGCTTTGAGGAAATCCTCTCCACTTCTGTGGCAAACGTGTTCCCAAACAACCACCACAAGCACACTTCGTCAGAGAGATGCAAGTAACCAATAAAGTATTTTTTAGTGATAAGTTATTAAAATGTTGCTGTGTAAACTTTCCCATCTATGGAGAAAGTTCTTGGTTCTGGAAATTTCACAAGCTGCACATATTTCTGACTTTTATCACACAGTGTCTTATGCACTGAGTCTAAATGGTTCACAGGCTTTTGGAAATCTGACTGAGCTATCAAACAGCACACTTCTATTCCCAGTTACGGAGAGCAGGCCTGATCTTGAAGGAGTTTTACACCAGGCTCCTACCTTAGTATAAACCGAGATCGACTTTATTCTGTGAAAAAAAAACCCAAACATTTGGGAAGCTTCCAGCTCCACTGTAGATCTAAGACATAGATGCATTTATATAGACTCAGACAGAGAAAATCAATGAGATTGGCTTAACCCCATCGTGATTTATATTTAATAAGTTTTCATGTAAACCTCCCATAAGGCTTAAGTCTACATCATGCGCTCAAACTGTATCGTAACAGGGGAGTGCTGACCTAAGACCTGGATATCTCATACCGTTGATTATGTGACCATATGGCATGACCTAGCTCTTGGTCTACAAAACCACGATAGATCTGGTTCTTTAGGGTTTTTTTTTTTTTTTTTGATATCAGGAGGAAACCACATGAAAAGCGCCACTCATCTGTTCAAACAGCCATGTAAAATTGATTTGTGGCTTAAGGGGTTAAGAATCAATTGCATTATGTATAACTCCAAACCATGATGTTACTGGGTGAAAACAGCAAACGTAGTGTCACTTGTAGTAAACAGAATATGCTACCTGTAGTCCCAACAACACTAAATCATGTTGATTAACCAGCACCTCAGATCATCTTATGATCATCAGATATTTCTTCAAATTGCTAGACTTTTCAGATTCACATGACTCTTTAAGAGCATAAAATAGTAGCGTAAAGACAGAATGATCTTTGCTTCTGGATATTTTACAAAACAGTCACTGCTAAACAAAAAGATGAACCAATGGCTGCTTATAGGAAAGGTTTTCTAAACCCCTTGTTATATAATCCTCCTTGAAATTGTCAGAAAACACGCAAAAAACAAGATTTAGCGTATCCCAAGCAATTTCAACTCACCACATGAAGCTTCAACCTAACCTAAGCTTGGGAAAAAGCTTAAGTTTGGCTTGTCTGATTGCCTAAAATGTCTTCCTTGTGCAGAATAACAAGTTGCACACATGTATAAAATGTGCAGCAATAATAGAAGCTGCACACACGGGACCACCAGTTTGTTGAACGAGGGCTGTTTCTTGGGGAATGAGCAGTTCTTAAGTTGGGCGATTCTATTCTATTCTATTCTGTTCTATTCTATTCTATTCTTTCCTAGCCTGTTCTGCTGTATGCAGGCGCTCAGACAGTCATGGTTCCCCTTCCCCCTCTCCCAGACAGACCCTCACTGTGGGGGAAGGGCTGTTTAGGCAGCAGCCAGCCAAGGGCCCTCCAGCATAGCTGACAAGCATGTCTGTCTGTCTACAGCATGTGTGTGTGTGTGTGTGTGTGTATGTGTGCGTGTCTGTGCATGTGCATGACACTACATGACATGGTTATCTCTGTGGCAAGACAAGACACTATATGTCGATCTCATATACCAACGTATACC